TCTCATTTTGTAGTAAGATCAAGTATCTCTTACGAGCATGAAGAGAACGAAACACGTATGATTTTTTATTTGTAAAAAATTATTCGAGTTTGGAAACGAAACCAGTTTTTGTGTTAAGACAGATGTAATATCGTATATCATAAACACGAATACATGTAGTCTCCTTTAATCCTGTCTTAAAGAATAGATACATAATGCATCGACAAATATTAATGTGCACTATAAAAGACGCATAAATAAATAAACGTAATCTGGATTAGCACTAACAATTGTTATAAAATTTAAAGTAGCACACGCGATTAATTACTGAAGTAATTCGCGAATCAAGTATGTTTTAATTAAATCAGCTTTTATGATAACTTATAATAACCTGTTTCATATAACAGACGAAATCAAGTAATTATAATTATTAATGCAATTGTGTATTATTATGACATCATGACACATTATTATAAAACATATTGAGAGATTATACACTGTTCTTTTTATGTGATGTAACAACAGAGAGACTGAATGCTGAATTGGAAAATTTACTTTGAACCAGTAGCTAATTAAAGCGCCGGGAATTTGAGTATGTACAATGTATTTGAGTATGTACATGTATATTGGATGGTTCCTGTGTACAAGCAAGCGAACTATAGCTATAACGGTAACTACAATCTTTGGTGGAAACGAGGGATTATATCACATTCGTGCATGTAATAGCCGAATTACATTATACTAATTTAATGTAATAATCGATGATCGCAGGAATAAGAGATATTTCGTAGGAATAGTATTGAAACACTTAAAAGTTGTCATATAAGTATTTTCTTTTGAAATACTTATATACTTTACACACATCAATAAGCGACAAAAATATATAAGTGTTACTATATTACACGTGCATGACATTATAGTCAATATCTTATACCACAGAATTGTAATTTAAAATTCCATTCTGCGTCATAGTATACTTTAAACGTTATTTAAATCTAAAATGTCATTGGCGACAATACCCCTAAAAGCAAAGTTATAAGTATCGCAATAAATTCTATTTTTACTGTTGCACATAGTTTAGATACACAAGCATAAGAGTCGTTGAGTTAAGTTTTATTATTAACCTACTTATGTGTGCTTCACATAGTTAGGATAAAAGGTAACTGTAGAAGAATGTTAAAATAAAAATATTCAACAAAGCAAGAGAAAGGGAGGGAGAGAGAGAGAGAGAGAGAGGGGGAGGGAGAGAGGAGAGAAAAATCTCCGTATATCAGAAGATAAATAATTAATAAAATTGCATATGACAGAATAATAAGATTGCTTGAACATTAAGCTTTACATTAGCCCTTTAATTTGAAGTTAACTTAGATGGCAAAGCTGAAGTATTCATTTGCAATGTGAACGAGCAAATCACCTTTTATTTGATTAAGAACGATTTCCACGAGTCAGCAATCTTTATTCTCGTTATGTATGTCTAATAAGGATATATAGGCATAAGAGTATTTAACAATCATTGGAAAAGTAAATATAATTACTGCGCGATAAATTATTGTGTAATTTAAATTGGACTAATACGAATAACATTAAGTCTATAAAGAAATAAGTGTATGACAACGTAGTTTCGAAATAATAATATACATATATAACATATCGCGCATATATAGACAAAATATATTGACAGACGACGTGTGCGCGCGGTAACATAATTTGCATGTGCAATTAAAATGCATGGGAAGGTCTTTTAAATTTTAATTAAATGAGCTCAGAGCGTTAAATACGACGTTTAGAGTAGCGAATGGTATTATTGTCGTTGCTTTGTAAGTGGATAAATTACGATATTCGCATGATCCATATGACGTTTCATAACGCTGCCTTCAATAGTTTTCAATAAAAAATCAGTGAAAAAATAAAAAGAGAAATAACACATTGTTAGTAATTGTATACACCGTGGTAATAAGCACAGTATGTATATTCCTAATAATATAAAATTTATAACAAATTTACAACAAATTTATAACCAAATTTATCAAATTAAATTATAACATAATATATACAATAATATTTATAATAGATACCATATATTTTCATTGATTTTGGAATATTCTCAGCTAATATATAAATGTCAATCATTTTTCTGTTGATTTTTGTAAATTCAAGTTAATATTAATTTTTCACTATTCAACTGGCTTTTTTATTTTCTTGTTTTTTTATTTTCTTGTTTTTTTATTTTCTTATGCATATGTAGTCGTTGCGTAAATAATATTGTTATAAATTAAAATATCTATTAAAAATTAAGGTGTATATATATGTATATATATATATATATATATCTATACACACAATATAGTATGTGTTTAAAGTTCATAAAATAAAGTTTGCACGGCTTTTATTTATAATTAGTAAATGTTTAAAAAATAATGTTTGACTTCATATCGTGCCTTCTTAAAAACTGATAAATTTTGAAATATGTGTGTCATAAGATGCATCTATATTTCAATTAAAAGGTTCGAAAAGAAAGGAGAGAAGTACATTCAGGATATCATGCTGCACAACGCGCGCACATATTCTATGAAAGCAATTGTTAAGAATTTGCGGTGCTTTTCAACTACGGCAAATAAACGTTCGATCACGGTCGTGCAAAATTAATGGGCGTGGTGATACATGTCACACCGTTGTAACTAGTGGATGTTATTTCGATTGGAAAAAGCCACTTGCAAGCCTCAGATTGGGAGAAGTTTACAGTAACTCTATGGCTGCTCTAGCGTGCAAAACTAACTAGAGAGTCTCATTGAAGTCTCTCACATCGAATCGGTTATCCCAGTCGAGTTGATAGGAAGTCGCAATTACACAACTTTTACAATACTTTCGACCTAGTTTGTGTTTCCGTACAAAATCGTTTCGCACACGCTTTCCTGAACAGGATTCTAGATAACGATAAAGCGAATAATAAATGACGAATCTTCGACAAATTTTATCCTCTGCGTTCACGTTATCACTCACTTTTTTAATGTCGCAAACTTTTGCATTACATTGTAGTTGTCACATTATTTCACACGACACTTTTATACTTCATGAAGATTTAAGTTTGGCAAATGTGATTGCTTTTATCAATCTAAAACATAACAACGTTTCAATTGTTGCGCATAAAGATTCAATTTCTGTAATTGGACATCATTCTTTAAAAAAGCTTTCAATGTTATCTTTCGATCTAAAATGACTGGATTTATGTTTAGTCTCATAAATAAGTTTCTATAAATAATTTAATTGTGATGTCATTCTAAAAATTCGAACAGTAATAAGATTTAAAGAAGGAATAGTTCAAGGAAAACGACCTCGTATCTCAAGCGACGTTTGTCTGGTACATGTCGAGATTCGTCAGGCGGAAATTCTCTTGCGGAAGTCTCGTTTTAAGGAACGGTTAGTCGTTTGGATGATGATGCGCGTACTAGAAAAAAAAAAAAGAGTAAAGCTCGATCTTGCGAAAGGTTGCAGGAGATTCCCTCCGATCGGTCCGACAATTCAATTATCCGAGCGATTGGATTTTCCGCGCCGTCCATCAGAAGTAAATTATTTCGTACTACAACGAACAACGAGAGCTGTTGCATCCTATGGTGTTCAACGAATCATCTGACATCGCAGCACACGCAAGAATAAGCGTCGCCTGTGGCTGATGCATTCTCGAATCGTGATTCGGAGATGCTTTGGAAAATCGGCACCGATATCGTCGAAGATTTATCAAAGCGAGACGAGGTCATCGAAGCTGCAGATAGATTTATATTCACATGCATCCGACCATCGTTCCGCCTCCGCCTCGTATCGGACCGACCAGCGCGAGCTTTCATCGACCACGCGAAACAATCTCGCTGATTGTTCATTGAAATACAGTGATGAGTTATTTTTGTGCAGTACCGCGATCTCCGGATCGATATGACTTAGTTAAACACCGTTATTGATTTAGCGTGGGTACGTAATCGTATTATGCATAAATATAATTATGTATAACTTTATCTTAATTAAACTTCATGAATTTTACAATAAACTTTACTTACGCTTGTTCATCGTAACTGTCGAGGATTTAGTCACAAAAAGAGAAAGAATAAAAGCATGTGCTTCGCTTTGCTGAATAATTAAATGTAGATATTATTGTGTACAAACATAACAGAAAATTTGCGTGTTATAAAATAAATTATGGCCTCGCGAAAGTTATTAATATATAAATTAGATTTCAGATATTTAGAACGTTTCCGAAGGGATTAGACGGGGACTGAAGCGAGTTTAGAAAACTCGATCTTGATAGAATTTGTTAAAAGTTAGTATACGAGCATCGAGTAAAAATCGTTGTGCTCTCAAAGTTTAAAGGTTTTAACTTTCCGGTTTCTTGATCCAGCTTATCTTATTCCATCAGAGAATATTATTCTTTTTGCAATATAATATTAAATATAAATTGCAAAATATAAATAATGAAATGTTTTACGAAATACTATGTAAAATTTATATTTTAGTTATTATACCATATATCGTTCAATTACATATATTTGTGTAATATTTTATTTAAAATTATTTTGTTTTAAGTAGTTACTTATGTATATAACTTAAACTGAAATACACTCATGTATTCTGTTGTAACGTGTAGAATTGGAAAAATGGTATTATACGTGCTGTATATAGAAGACACACGTTTCATGAATAAAAAGATAGTGTAATTTCCTACACACATATATATATATCATGATGCAGTTCTGATTATGATTCAACAAGAATATCATTGATGTTAATTTCATTCAATCCATTCTCGTGGATTAATAAAAAGTAATCAACACACATTTGTTATACATTGGTAAAATAAAAATTAACATCTACAAAACGTAATTACCTATCTCGGTTTTAACATACCACGAGAAAGGTTTATTGACAATTTTAGTAATTTGAAACGGAATGGCGATAGAAATGTAAAGATGTACCTAAAATGTGCATATATAAGAATAGAAGAAAGAAAAGAAAGAAAGAGACATGCGACTCACCAATGCCTGGGCGGCGCTCTGGTGCTGCAAGCAAGAAACATCCAGTTACAATCACAATAACGACAATCAGTTAATGTTTCTTTAGCTAGCTGGTGATAATACTAACAAACAATTCAACAGTAATGCGGTGCTTACGAAAGCTCGAACACTGATATACAGACAACACCGAAAAAAAAATGTAAATCGTAGAAGCCAATAGTCATAAATTACAATTCACACACACATCGAAAGCTCCAAATAAGAAGACTGTAATAATGATTAAAAAAAAAAGAAAGATTTTGTAACTATCGGCTGCTTCGATTACATATTTTTCTAAGTGTTATTCTTCTTTTATGACACGGCTATACGTTGCAAGCTTACATAATGCGTATTTTTTGTGTTGATAAAATCGTATGTTATGTATTGCTGTTTATAAATAATGTAACGATAAATCAATAATGTAATAATTCGCACGATAAACTAGTTTCATCTTTAACGTTTAAATTTATTAAATGAGCATGGCCGATTTTGATCCTTACTGTATTTTCGTCTAACCACATCTTTTAAGGAGCGTTCGTTCAATCAGTCAGCGTTTATTGAGAGGGAAAAAAGAAGAAATCTTAGCTACTTATCTTTAAAATTATCGTGAATTATTTCTTCAGGAGAGCACGCATTTTTCTGTTTTTACTTATAAGAGTAGCAGTTATAAGCTAATCTTACAGTGATTAAAATAAATAGTACTGATAAAATCTAAAGCTATCAATGCCATGATCGCAATTGCAATAGCCTTCGGTAACCCGATTTTTTTTTATCATCTAACTCGCACGACTTCGTTTTATTTGCACGTACTCTTGGAAGCGTTGGGTGGATGTATATGTATGTGCCCGCACAGTTTGTACGTTACATAAAAATATTTGTTCGCGTAAGCACCGTGGTGCTGTCACAGGCAGACCACTGTAATTCGTTTTGAGATTTGGTGTTTTCCGCATGAAGGAAAAAACCGAAAGTAGCATTTATCACGAGTGGGAAAGCGGTGTGACATGCATAATACGTATAAAATTTAAACAAAACAAATACTTAAAAAAGAGACTACACTTGATTTAAAACGCATCTTCAATTAAAGCTTGGGACGCAAAGCAATGTTGACCGATGTCAAATGATGCGAAAAACATCGAATTGACATTTAATTAAAACACTTGCCTGGGAAGATGAATTTCACGCGAGCGTGAACGCGTAATGGCTTCAAGACAAGTTACTGTCACTTAAGGACATTGAAAAAGAGATTTGAACGGAGGTAGTAAACAGCGATTATTATCAGAATAGAAAGTGATATCATTCGTTAAACGACGCAAATGACGTAGAATTACAAATTAACGCTTGACATTTGACATTTATTTTGTATATACTATACGTCATCATGTTGTACAAACTTGCGCTATTTTCATTGTTGATCCAATATCCATTTTTGACTCACAGACCTGCATTAAATTACATTTCAATAAAATTATTATTTTTGACGTACTCTCTTTCATTATATCTTTTCAACTGTGAAATGCTCCTTCGTGCTTCCAATATGTGTTTAATATTAACAAAAAGCTAATTGCTTAACTTTATAATATATATAGTATGTTATATGATAAGAAAACTTATTATAATAAGAAAACCAATTCTCTATATTTTAAATACTTGAGAATATACGAAAGATTCATCTCGAAGATTGCCAAATAGATTACCACTATGTGAAAATAATAATTTACAAATCATCACGATGCCGACACAGGTAATACGATATTAATCTCAGCGAAACTTAGTCAATTCATAAAAGATGATTGCAAACGCTTTGTAATTAACAGATGCCCATGAGAATAGAGCGATAAGCGGTTTGCTGTCTTTTGTGAGAAGTCAAGCTGCATTAAATTCTCCTCCTTAGTATTATAATAGTGCTCATTCACCATTGAGCTTTCTGCCATTTGCCGGCAGCGCTGCAGCGACAAGATTGAACGATCTAATATATTTAATTAGGAAACACCAAAGTTCTGGCGATACCGATTGTTGCGGTAATGCGTGGAACGACATTTTACGAGATTGTAATCTAAAATAACTTGAGCGAAGACAAACTAGTTTAACACAATTTAATTCAGAAACAAGCATATTTTAGTAGCAGTAAATCACGACGAGTGAGAGTTGCAATATAACGTGCTCTTAAGAATTGCGAATAAAGATAGCACGAAAAAGCATAATAAAGAGACAATATCAGAAATGACAAAGTTCGGTACTTGTATTTTCTTTTATAGAGCGTAAATAATTATTTGACTTTTTTTCACTGTCGTCGTTTCAAACGAAAAGAAATATTATTATATCTATATAATGCTTGAAAGAGTGATAATTCTCTCTGATTAATTCGTGGAATTCTTTAAGCGTCTCGATCTCGAGGATAATAAACGGCTGGATTGGAAACTCTTCGTAAGATCGATATGGTCATCAGTGTGAAAAATATGAAGAATGGACAGAGACTAAGAAAAATTAATAAAATTTCTTAACCGCACTCTTCGCGAAATACTAAAATATCCTTCTCTTGAAATCGAGAATTATAATTATATTATACAAACATACATTAAGTATATAATTCGTTCTATGTGAACGCAACAAGAACTTCGAGGGAATATTTTATAATTTAATTAACACGTAAATGACTAAGTAAAATCCATTTAATAAATCAAAACCTTTGTTCGTGTCTGAATCTTTATAGTTAAACATATGTGATATTCATAAAAAGTGTATGCTAAGATTAATGTGCCATCTTTAAGCTCGCTTAGAGAAGTGTAAGCCGAGAGAATACAGAATATACTCATTTTTTTCACATTCAACACATACACACACATTTAAAGCATATAAATAAAATGCGAAGTGAAAGAAATGAATGTACTAATCACTGCTAACAAGAATTTGATTAAATATTCTAAATGCTAATTATTTACTTAATCTTTCTTAATCATTTTAAGTAATTACATAATAAAAGATACGATTAATAGACAACATTTGAAGCATTAGGAATATAGAACTTTTCTATATGTTAACATTTATAGACATTGAGATCGCGCGACATGAGCGTGTTCTGCACACGAGGACAATTACATATAAATTCTTAATGAGATTAGCCTTGTTAAAATCCTGACTCTCATTAAAAGATCATTACGATTAAGCGTATTGCGCAAAATTACTCTCCGATTAAAAGTAAAAGAAAGGTGTGAGAGAGAGTGATATTGACCTACATCATGCTTCACGGAGGCCGCACACGTATACATATATGTGTCATTTCGGAAGTACATAGAACCATCACTTTATGGCTGGTGGAATTGCGTTCCAGCGATTCGAGTTGTAACAATTACCGGCAATCCATGATAAACTACTGTACAATTTAACACAACATGCTGCATGATCTGCACGCCAATAATTTTCATTGTCTATATTTTATCTTTTTAGAGACTCTTACCCTTTTCTATGTCCAACAGAAATTCCCCTCGAGGACGGTCTAATTCTCAATTGTGGCAGGAATATTTTCTCTTCCCTTTTTTCCTCTTTACGAGACAAAGGAGCAGATTATGACGGAAGATTTACGACGGCAATTATGAGGTTGTGATCGCGAGCACATCGATCAGGGCGACCTATATCTATGCAGCGCTTACTTGAGGAATAACATTCCGAAAGCAGTTCAGTTCGAACATATGTATATATATTTCTAAGAGGAAAAATGTTTGCGTTTGCAAAGTACTTAAATCAAGATGGTCCCATACATTTTAATCAACTATCGAACTCTTGCTGAAATTTTTATTCTACTAAATAAATCTTTTATATAATACTTAAATCTCTTAATATTTATTTTAAGGCATTAATGAAATCTAATATCGTATTTAATATCATAATGCATTCTAGTGTTTTTTTTTATACTGACCGGCATTACACACGTCACTGAAATCCTCGGTAAAATAAACTCGTCCTGACTTTGGCCTTAAAGTTCAACGTCGAAAAGTGTCCAACTCGCGCGATATATAAACTTCAAGTACATTTAAATTATTAAGAAAGTGAGAGAAGGGAATTTTTTCAACCGCTCGCATTTGAAGAATCTCGCGAGGCACGTCGGTTCTCCTAATTGGACAGAGAATAACTTGTCACTTTTCTCTAACAATCACGCCATTATTTTGCTATGGCTACGTTCCACTTAGCGCGACACTTACCCCAGCGATTACAGCTGACCCAGCGGCCGCCGAGTCTGCGGATTATTGTTCAATTTGCTCGGCGCCATCGTGCGACGAGGCCGCGCCCTCAATTTCCATATTTCCACCGTGAAAACTCCCGTCGTGCCGCATTGTTCTTTACGACAAAAATCACTGATGGGAAACGGGACTGTGATATTTCGACAGAAATTTCATCCGGGAGTCTACCTCCGTTACTAATGAGAATTATATCATTAAACATTAATTAAAATGAATTGCGCAGGTCTCCTGGCTTATTATACCGCCTATATCATTTCATAATCTGAGTCCTCAAATATTCATAAGTTTAATGCCTATTAAGCAACTAGTATATCCGCTGCATGTGATAAAATATAATAGCTGCCATAACATAGGTTATGCAATAACAAACATTTAATTTCTATAGTATAAGTATTATTCTTTCACTTTATGAAATGGATATTTTAGATAATAGAGCCACTTTGTATACAGTAAACATGTATATATGCACGATGTTTGAGTAATCTTTGAAACGGGGAGTGAACAATATTGTACTAAAAAAAGATTAAAGAAATATATACTCGACGGTAGTATACAAAGGAGGTACGCGTACTCGGTGTTCGGCAGAAAAGTAGGTCGAGGTTTTACAAGAAACCAATATAGTTGTTAATTATTATGCGCTATATGTAACAAAGGCATAGAGAGCGACAGCGTCAGTAGTATTAATACTGTGTACGTTACGTTTGTATTTGTACCAAGAATTGTAGCTACAAAACTGTGTAAAAATACTGTTAAACGCTGTTCAATCAATAT